TTTTTTGACGCCATCTGAAAGAGCATGGTTGAATTAGTCGGGTGGCATATTTTTGAAAGTTTAAAAAGTTTAATTTTGGGGTTAAAATGGGCCTCAAAGTTGCCGACACCGAAAAAATATCTCGAGAACTACTTGACAGAATCTTCTGAAAATTTGTGTCAATACCTAATTTGGAGTGGGGATCATTTCTCTAATACATCGGAAAGCACGAAAATGCCCGGAACATAGGTGTATTGCGTACACAAACAGTTCCGTTCTGTGGAACTGGGCGATCGGGCGGCTCTTTGATTACTGTAGAAAGATGCGCAAGAAAATTCGCATTGAATGGTGTATCAAACTAGAGCCGCCCGATCGCCCAGGTCGCGCTATAAAGCATTTACTAGGCAAAAATTGGCCCAAAAGAGGCTCCGAAAACTTATAAAATTCAAAACAACGAAATCTGAGGCATTGTTTGCATTAGTCATCATGCTGAAGCTTTCAAAAGAGCAAAAAGAAATTCGCTTCTAGAGACGGCTGGGATTGAACTCGGCCCCGTTGGGAGCCGGCCCTCACTGCGCCGGCGGGCCTCCAGGGTCGGGCGGGTTCGATTCCGCCTAGAAACAAATTTCTTTTGCTCTTTTTTGGAATGCTTCCTTGGTCCTAGATGCAATATGATTCCTCAAAACTATTTTGAATTTTATAAGTTTTCGGGCCTCTTTTGGGCCAATTTTTCCTAGTAAATGCTTTATAGCGCGACCTGGCGATCGGGCGGCTCTAGTTTGATACACCATTCAATGCAGAATTTTCTTGCGCATCTTCTACAGTAATCAACAGAGCCGCCCGATCGCCCATCCGGACAAACGGAAAACTGTTTTGTGTACGCAACACCTATGTTCCGGGCATTTTCGTGCTTTGCGATGTATTAGAGAAATGATCCCCACTCCAAATTAGGTATTGACACAAATTTTCAGAAGATTCTGTCAAGTAGTTCTCGAGATATTTTTTCGGTGTCGGCAACTTTGAGGCCCATTTTAACCCCAAAATTAAACTTTTTAAACTTTCACAAATATGCCACCCGACTAATTCAACCATGCTCTTTCAGATGGCGTCAAAAAAACAGGGTCGAAGAAAACTGTGCCAAGCTATAATGGGGCTTGGTCGGATCCCTCACAAACGGCCTTTTAAATTCTTCCGTGTTTGACTTTTGGCTCGAGAAATTCGGGTTTTTCAGCTTGTAGTCTGTAGCTTTAGCGTTTATTAAGAGGATCTAGATCTTCTGTTCTTACTTCGTCTTTTACCAAATTTGCAGACTCCTGGCTTCAGCTTGCCGACCAGTAGCCCCAGAGCTAAACAGAGCATTGGCACAATCCTCGTGCCAACCGGCTGCTGCCGGTGTGGCTGACCCAACTTTCCCCCGGTCTCCTGCTCCTGCTCCTTCTCCTGCTCCTTTTCCGGCTTATGAAACAACCTCCTCTCCTCTGTCCGGCCGTACCAACCGCAGATGCGATCTCCATGCTGCTAGAAGGGGGATAGAGGGATGGTGCCATCGGATAACTAGCTGAATATTCCACACGCCCATCCTTCCCCCCCCCCCCTCCGATCCCTCCCCCAGGTCGACGCGAGGAGATCAACGACATTTTCGCACACTTTCCCATCCGGCTGGCTTCAACTGGGAATTTTCGGCTTTTCGCTAGGGCCGCTAGCTCTTCCAGCACGGGTTTGACTAGCTAGCTAGCTTACTGTAAGCCAAAAATCTTATGTAATTCCGCAAAAATCCCTGCATGTTTGCTCGCTTCTTCGACGAGACAGCTTTTAAAGCTTTAAAAAGTTATATTTTTTGCAGCGACACTTTTTCCACATTTCTTGCGGTTATTGGAAAAATTCGTTTTACCTTTGCTAAAATCTAGTGTCCCTCAAAAGTCTCGGCTAGCTCACCACCAATCTGCAGACTTCTTGAAAGTTTAAAAGGACCAGGAAGCGCGAAAATTGACCCGTTCTGAACACCGGGTCTCGCCAGTTACGTGCCACTTGAAAGCCACCATCAGGGCTTTCACGATTCGTTCAAACGTAATATCGTGGGTTGAGCAAATGTCGAAACCTAGTCTAGCCCAAGGGTCGATTTTCGCATTTCTCAACCTATCAGACTTCAGAAGAAATATCTTTTCGATTTCTGGCAAACTGGCGAAAATCAGCCCGCTGCCAGCCAAAGGATCCGAACCCTCGATCTCATTTCCTTCCGGTCCAATGACCCGCGCGTTTTCCTGGGCGGCTGGACGCAAACTTCAGAAATTATTTCGAGTTGGCGCTCTCTCTCTCACACTCTCTCTCGCTCTCTCTCTCTCGCTCTCACACCCACACTCTCTCCCCCCCCCTCTCTCTCTCTCGTTCACTCTCGATTTCTTGGAAAAAGACTTTCAGCTCAATCTACCGTAACTTTCCAGACAATGAAAGAGGAGGAAGATGCCGACTTCTCATTCCCCACGTGCACCATTTTCCTATTCCTTGCCCTCTCCGCTACAGTAGCCCTTCAGGCATATCTCACCGACCATCAATTTTCGCATAAAACTCGAGAGATAGAGTGGGATTTGATAAAGCGGTATCGGGCAGAGGTGACAATTATTTTTAATGTTACATCCAGCATTTTAGCGCGGTACTGTAGAGACGCAGAGGACGTTGCGAATAAGACGACGGTTATGTAATGGAATCCAAAATTGCACCATAATACCTCCATTTATTGAATATGAAAGTCGACAAATGGTGGGTTGAAATTTGTAGCTATATTTTGTAAGCCTAAGCCTAACCTAAGCCTAATCTAAGTCTACGGCTAAGTCTAAACCTAGGTCTAAACTAGAGCTCGTTTTTTATTACCTTTTTAGCTTTGTACCAGGGTTGAAAAGCCGCTTCGCGACTTTTCAACCCTGGCCCCGTCTGACCCCATTTTATCTTTCACGTTGTATACTTGTCCTGAATTCAGATGGCAAAAAATGAAAAATGACTTCTTCTGCGGCTTTATATAGTCGCGTCCCCACTTCCGGTCTATTCTAATTGTTTTTACCAAAGAAGTTCTCACAAAAACCTAAATTTAATGTCGAAAATCGCTGAATTTGTAAAATCTGATGCGTGTGCAGTCATCCCAAGACCATTGCGCACCTAACGACGTATCATACGTACTTTAAAATGCATCCCCTATCAAGATATCCTCCGGACAGACAGACGGAAGTGGATGCAAAGTGGCACACACACACACACACACAAACACTATTTTTTTATATATAGTAGGATTGTGAAGTCTCCAATTCCCAGGTATCCCAAAAATTCGGCATCTCCGCCTGTGTCATCTACAAAAATTTCTCGACCGTCTTGACGTCCATCCTCTGCTACTTGTATGACACGCTTCAATACGAGGAGAATGTCGACAATTTGATAGAGGACACTTACTCGGTCAGGTCGTTCTAATCATCCTAGTAATATCAAGTTTTCTTCAGATTTTGCCGCGGTAAAAACGAGTATAACTCGTTCAGGATTTTTAAACACATGAAGCCCGATGTGGACAGGTTTGTATTCAGTTTATTTAAATGACAAAGTCTTTAAAATAGGCCCTGGACTCATATCGTTCTGGTGAGAGAGCCGACAGAGCGTTTCGTTTCCGGCTTCATCAACAAATGTCTACAGTACGGTAGTTTGGACAAGAAAGATAAAACTGGGTAGATAATTCTGTATTTTCAATCTCGAAAAAATACGGCTCTTAAAAAATCTTGGTAAATCCTAAAATTTGGGATTTTTCGTGGAAATTTTTTCAAATGCTTTGAAACAATACAAAGTCTCGTTGGAAGTGCAAACCCGCGTGAAAACAATCTCCTTTTCAGAGAAAACCAACGCGTCAATGCATGTTACGGATGTCGCCAAAATATTACATGTTTTATGGAACGTCAGTTGGCTAGTCTACAGGTAGAAAATCTATTCTAAAATAACGCTAAAGTAATTTTTTTACTAATTACATTCTAATAACAATATCTTTGACCATCCTTCCATTTCTAGCAAATCGTTCATGGCGAAAAACTGTGGCACACGATGGAAGATTCGCATTTTGCACCACAGAATTGGTAGGCTAACAAAACCAAAAATCATACGACATTTCAGGTTCTGCGAGATGCGAGAAAACTACAAAAAATACACCTTCATCCACTACAGCTCCACCAATTCGGTGCCAATGCTCGACAGATTGTTGGCGAAATTTGATAAACTGGATGTTCCGCTAAACGTCACTGCAGCTATTAGAGAACAGGTGGGGAACATAGCTTCATCGCGTTTTCTTGGTTCTAGCAAGCTGCTTAAAGCTCTTAAAAATTGATTTCAGGTCCTCGGGCAGCGTACCGGCCACGCAACGTACGACTCAACAGATCGAATACGTTACCTACGTCAAATTCAACAAAACCCATATTTGAAGCGGTTGATGATCCAAATGTTCTACTATGATTATCTACTCTTCCACTATCCCCTCCCGAATTTAGGGGACGAGAAAATGCCCTGAATGTGATAGTCTAAAAAAACTCAAGCTAAGAAGTCATTTACTTACCAAAAAAAAAATAGGTATATTAACCTTATTGAAGTCATTATTATCCTTATTAACTAATCTCTCCTTTACTTGGAGGAAAATGCCCAGAATTCGCTTTTTACATCCCCATTCCATGCACATTTGGCGACCCCGCCAATAACTTTGCCACTTCCCCCCATTTTCCCATCCTAAATCGACGGCGGCTTCACGGGTACCCACGGGTCATTGCCAAACGACGTGCGACTTTTCCGGTACACCACACAACACTAGGAATAAATCTTTTGTATTATATCGGAAACATGTGGATAAATCTCTACGGGTAAAGCTGCAAAATGGTGCATGAGTGAAGGAGACTAGTGAGCAACAAATAACCGGTAGTGCTGAATAGGAAGAGGTAGGTCAATGCACAAAACTGCAGAAAATGAGATTAGGCGGTCAACGAGAATGTGTGCGTGTGGAATTTCTAGGATTTTGTCCTGCTCATTGTCTCGTGGCCCCACGCTTGCTGTGTGAGTCGCTGGGAGGCGTGTTGCGTAGCGTGCGCCGTCGACATCATGAAGTTGCGGTACTAAAATAGAATTTTTATGTTCAGAAAAATTACTGATCATACCTTTTTATCTCGCTTATTGGGCGGTGGCCGCTCGGGGCTCGCGGGAATGCGGTCCGCGTCGTCGTCGAGCGGCTGGTTTACTAAAACGAAAATATTCTTCAACGAATTAAAAATTACACCCACCAGCCCCAAAATCCGTCTCCATCGCCAAATCGTTGTTGTCCGGCACCCAATCAGGGCTAAAAAAAGGTAAGAAAGTGTATTTTCGAAATACCTAATACAAGGAAAAGCACTCTGCTCTGCTGCTGGGCTTTTGCTGGAATTCAATCGCATCGCTGAGACGCGATTTGCCGTAACATTCAGCGATTGCCGTCGTGAAGGGGGTGGTGTAGCGGATAGACCTGAACAAAGCCAAATTTATAGTTGTCTAGTTACTAAATTGTACCTCGTTCAATGATCGGCTGCTTTGGTGACAATGACTTCTTTTTGGCAGATGACGGCCCTCTAAACAAGTAATTTTAAAAAATTCGATTAACTTACGCTACTTCCGCATACATATCCTCGAACGGATCGTTAAGCACCATTTCGTCAGCCGGGCGAGAAAACGAAACGCCCTCCCTCTGCTCTTCTAGTAGGACGATTGGCTCTCTAAAATGCAAAAATGGAAGCCCATTCATTAAAACACCTTTCAATCTCAACAGCTGATCGCTTATTTCCTTTAATCAGCGATTTTCTCGGTTCTTGTTTTGAGGTCGAGGGCTCGTCATCAAAGCTGTCGTATTCCTGTTCTTCGACGACGCCGCCAGGTTGTGTTGGAATCCGCTCCACCTGCGTCGTGTCCGCATCTTCCGTATCCACATCAACTGTCGATAGGTGGAACTCGGCATCGTAGGTAATGTCACCATCTATCACAATAATAAGAGGCCTAAAAATGCTTTGTTTTGCCAAAAAATGAAATTACTTAGAAGGCTGATCGAAATACAACGTCACATTGGCGCCCTGTTGGGAGGCGAAAGAAAGGATAGCCTGAAAAAGAAAGCATTCTTTGCATGGAAAATCTAGCCTTAAACTCTTTGGCGCTGAAATTAATCTCGGTCTCGCGTCGAATATTCATCGAGTTGAATTGGGCGCTCATCCACGTGGCCTCGGAGATGAGCTTTGTGCGCTTTTCTGAAAGATTCTATATATTTTTGGGTTTTAAAAGTTTTTACCTGCTCCATCGCGTTGATAGTTCTTGAAGTGGATCCGCTCCCTTTGCGCGTGCACCACGAGCTCGTCACTTTTGTTCCGCATCTGCTCGATGATGGGCAGTAGCGTGCTAAAAATACATTCAATTTTCGGAGGTCTCAAATTACTCTGGGGAGCAGCCGAGCTTATTCGCCATCTTCGCCTTGTCGGCCGACAACTTTTTCGGCATCTGGCGCTTGTTGTCACAGACTCGAACGCGATACAACCGTTTTACATCTAAATACAAAAATTAATTTAATTATGAAAACTCCCCTACCGTTCACGAGCAGCATCTCCATTATAAAGTTGTCCTTTTCGGGGTGTATCCGCATGTCGACTTGGATGTGCGTCTTTTCCGTAAAATTGGCCGACTTGAAAGCGACGAGTAGGGACTAGAGAAAATAAATTAAGGAAATCAATAAATTCTCACTTTTATAGACAGCTTCACGGAACTGTCCTGCTCCAAATCGATTTTTCCCATGTCCAGCGCGGAGAAAAAGTGCTCGTTGAAACGGATAATAAAGTAGGCGGTGGCCAACGGGTTTAGCGCGCGGATCGTTAACTAAAAGAAAAATTATTCCCGGGAAAACTGCGGTTACCCCCTGTTTCGTCGGCTCCACCGATAGCGTGGTCGAGATTTTCGCGATGGCATTGATGGCCTTGTGGAAAACTAAAAAAGCAATAAGTTCCAAAAACTCAAGATACCTTTGAAATTAGAGGCCTGCAGCACAAATTTCGCGCATCCGTCGCCCTCTTCAGGAAAGTCCATGGTGAGTGTCTTCGACTTTCGCACGGCACTACTCATTTAGCCCGCCCACGGTGGGGCACAGAGCCTGCAACATACACGATCAACAGTGCCGCCAAAATGTGCGAAGCAAAAAACAGGAACAGAGAGAAAACATTGCGTAACGAAAGGGGCCGCAAGGGAAAGACGCAGGGTGGGGGCGGAACGGGAGAGGCTCGAGCTCTCCCTCTTTCCATTTCTCTCTCACTTTCATCACCTGACGTCAGTTCCATGCTGAGGCTCTTACGTACTGGAATTGAGGATACGTGATTTCGGGAGCTTTTCTTGATTCTAAAAGCCAATTTTTATGAAAAATAGTCCGGTGATTAAAAAATGCAAGTTCTAAAACGATCCTCTTGAAATTTTAACCGATTGTAACAATTAGATCAATAAAATGAAGCTTGATGTTTTTTATAGAAATCAAATCCGAGATTACGAAAATCCATTCCGTTTATGTACACTTTACGCTCTTCGTTGATCGGAGCTCTACGTAAATTTCCTTTTCGAAGTTTTTTAAAATTTGCAAACCTAATCGAATTTTGATAAACTTTTATATTAACTGCGGCTAAATTTCACTTTACGGTAACTAAATAAAATGTCGATTTTTCTATTGGAATCGATAGATCTCGTCGAGTTCTACCATTTCCAGTTGAAAAAACTATTGGGACTCGCTTTTAGAAAAAGTTATAAACATTTTAAATTGGCTAGTTCACTTTACGGTAACTAAATAAAATGTCGATTTTTTGACTGAAATCGATAGATCTCAGCGAGTTCTCGCGTTTCCCGTTGAAAAAACGATTGGGACTCGCTTTTAACAAAAGTTATAGCTGTTTTAAACCAATTCCCCCGCATCGAAAAAATCTGTTTCGGCTACGAGGACTCCTTTGTACGGAAAAGTAATAGTTGTGACGTACTGGGTACCAATACGGGCTGCTGCAAAGGCGCAGGGAAAACTTTATTAGCACACATTTTGCACTTCCTCGAATTTCTGAATTTCTGAACTCAAGACGGTTTTGCAACAGGAGTCACTCGATTTGGAGGGAAGTGACCGCTACTTCCTCCGCTCTGCGACTGAAAAGGCTTCGTGCCACCCGGGGCCTAGTCGCTTCGGATGGGTGCGAGCTCGCAGGTTTGAAGGGGGCGCCGGCCGGCGAAGGCCGGGGCGCCCCATTTCGAAGAGTGGAGCGGCAGCCCATCGAGCGACGCCCCCGCCTGACAATGTCACGTCAATGTCAAAATATAGTGTAGCCTCCTCCAACTTTCCCAAAGGTTTTTTCAATTGTAAATGCAAGAACTCGACGAGATCTATTTTCCCAGGCGAAAAATCGCATTTTCGAGGTACCGTAAAGTGAACCAACCACTTTAAAACGTTTATAACTTTCGTTAAAAGCGGGTCCCAATCGTTTTTTCAACGGGAAACGCAAGAGCTCGATGAGATCTCTCGATCCCAGTCGAAAAATCGAGATTTTATTTAGTTACCGTAAAGTGAACCAGCCAATTTAAAATGTTTATACCTTTTTTTATAAGAGAGTCCCAATAGTTTTTTCAACTGGAAATGGTAGAACTCGACGAGATCTATCGATTCCAATAGAAAAATCGACATTTTATTTAGTTACCGTAAAGTGAAATTTTCCCTTAACTGCGGCCCCTGACGTGTTGATCACGTTTTTAGACACTAATTGTTTATTTTTCCTCCCACTTGGACCTTGTGTTATGCGTCCTCCCTCACATACGCCCTTCTGATAAGGCCCTAACAAGGAGTTTGTCAAAAATAGGGCTCACTGTTTTTTATTTCTTCTACATTTCCGTTCCCGTGCTATATTTCTCGCGCTATGGGAATGGAAATCGATTTCAGGTCTATGTTAGACCAAGCGGAGCCATTAATTACACCCGAATCGCCACCGCCGCTCCCCGCCGCTTCGACGAGGGTGGGAACTTTTTTTGTGATTGATAAACGTGGTAATGGTTGTTTTTAGAGGTCTCCATTCTCCGAGACGCGAGAAGTTAAATTTACGACGCGCGAGCTGAAAGGAGTTGGCGGTGATGTTGAGAAGAAGCTACTTTCGAGGGGTGGCGTTTCCTTTGCGCAGATAGCCGAGCCAGAAAGTAAGACATGTAGTTTTAAATAAAGAAAAGTATTAGATAAGTTTTATGGTATCGAATTACGTCTATTAAGTGTATAACCTGATTAATTCAATACTTTTCAGGCACCATCCAGTATGACCCGGCCATCATCACCAACGAGGTGATCATGAATGAACTCCAAAAGTCCGGGATCGATGCCCGACTCCTCGGTGATAATTTTGGTGGGTATTTCCCCTTCTTCCTTTCTTCCTTTTCTGCTTTTTGCATCTTCTTCCTGGGACCAGACGAGGCTTATCAGCCCCTCACTAGTTGTGCATATGTCCTCAAAGAATTCCCGTCCAGCCCTACGTACTCGTGGATTGTTCTTTTGCTCTTTTGATAGTTGCGCGGTCTTAATTATTATTAAACGGCTGTAATAATTATATTTTCAGTTTCCCTGTCCAACGACATGGCCAACAAGAAGCTGGCGCTGATCAGCGTCGATGGTATGACGTGCATGTCTTGCGTCCGGAATATACAGAGTACAATCGGGGATAAGGCTGGCATTTTTTCGATTGAAGTCAGCTTAAAGGAGAAGAAAGGTGAGAGCTTTATGGATCTGTTTTAATTTTTTTTAGCATATGCCATCTTCAACCCCACAATTCTATCAGCCGCCGACGTCGCCGAGGCGATCGATGATATGGGTTTTGAAGCAAAGCTTATATCAGAGTCTTGTAAGCGTTTTTACCCTTAATTTACCTTATTTTAGTCGACACCAACTATCAATTCGAAACTTCCACCCCAAAGGCGTGTAAAAAGATGCAAAAATCTGAAGACGCGGTCCGCTTCAGCAAATTACTCGCCCAGGACGTCGAAATACCATTGGGAGATCCAAATGTAATTTTTTGAGATGTTTTATTTTTATTTAAACTTTAGGAAAAAGCCACCGCAAGCGCCAAGGCCAGCTTCGCCATCGAGGGGATGACGTGCGCGAGTTGTGTGCAGTACCTCGAGGGAAATATTGCTAAATTAAATGGTAGATATAATTGATCGATTTTTAACTTTTTTTTAGGCGTTCGCGCGATCACTGTGGCGCTGATCTCGTCGAAAGCGGATGTAACTTTTGACCCCCGGCTGGTCACGGTAGAAGAGTTGGCGGAAAAGGTGCAAGAGCTCGGATATAGAGTGGGTCATCTTATTTTTTTTAAACTTGCGTAATTTTAGAGCCACTCTTCTCGATTCCTCGCTCTCGCGGGAGAACAAAATCGAGCTGATCGTCAATGGGGCTTGTACGCTTCAAGACGCAAATAGGATCGAGTCGTACGTGATGGCATTGCAGGTTTATAGCTCTTTTTTACTTGTAAAATTTTCATTTAGGGAGTGGAATCCTGCAACTATTCAGCTGCCAATTCGATAGCCGAGGTGGAATTTGAGCCCACCGTGACTGGGCCTCGTGATATTATCACGGTTATTGAGGTAGTATTCCATTTACAGATATTTTATTTTATTTTAGTCTCTCGGCTACACGGCCGAGCTCGTCTCGAAGGAGAAGCGCATCCAGCAGCTGGACCACAGCCACGAGGTGGCCAAGTGGCGAACTGCCTTTTTCATCTCGTTGATTTTTGGGATCCCAGTGATGTTGATTATGGTATAAAATTTGTATTGGATATATAGGAATATCTTTAGATTGTTTTCCACTGGATTCTACACACGCACATGCATGCCGAGAACCAGATTCCTGTTTTTACGCCCGCGCTGTCGGTTGACAATTTGTTGCTGCTGCTTCTATCGACACCAGTACAAGTAAGCATTGAAAAAATTCCAAAAGATTTTTTTCTTAGCACCTGAGAACGTTTTTAGAAGTTTAAAACAAAATATATGTTTAGAATTTAATAAGGTTATACTTTACATAGTTTATTCTTTAATATTCTATTTTTTAGATCATCGGTGGTCGCTACTTCTACGTGGCGTCATGGAAAGCCTTGAAACACGGCACGATGAACATGGACGTGCTCATCGTCCTGTCCACAACCATCGCCTACGTCTACTCCCTTGTCGTCCTGCTAGCCGCAATTCTTTTAAAATGGGAGGTGTCGCCAATGACCTTCTTCGACGTGCCGCCGATGCTCATCGTTTTCGTGGCGCTCGGCCGGATGCTGGAGCATAAGGCAAAGGTATAGATGGTCACTTTAAAAACTTAAATCTTTCTAGTACCCTTTAGTGTCGGAAAAACGCTATTACTTTCAGGGAACAGCATTCTTTATTATATTGACGTGAAAATCGTTTAAGTTTGTGATTGATTTGCCAAAAAAAATTGGAGCGTGGCGCTATAGATTTATTATTAGTGCATGGAGAATTTAAATGTTTAAGTCCACGCTTTTTTTCTAGATCTTACTTTACAATTTTTAGGGCAAAACATCAGAAGCCCTCTCCAAATTGATGTCCCTGCAAGCTCGCGAGGCCATCCTGGTCACAATGGAGGATGGGCGGATCACATCGGAACGCGGGATTGACATTGAATTGGCAAGTATTAAGATTTTAGCTTTATTTCCGTTTTTAGGTGCATCGCGGTGACCTAATCAAAGTCCTCGCCGGCGGGAAATTCCCCGTGGATGGTGTTGTTGTCGATGGGAAGAGTGCTGCCGATGAAAGCTTCATTACTGGGGAGAGCATGCCGGTTGTCAAGCACATTGGTGAGTTATTTCTGAGCACGCTGAGCGGCAACGGATCTCTGAAAAAGAAGACAAAATAGCAGAGATTCTTAGGGAATTTTTTAAAGCGGGCGGCAGAATTCTCGAGCAATTTGTTGGCAAACTAGCATGGTTTTTTGAGGATTCTCAAAGCGTCATCATTTTTTTAGACAGCGCCGTCATCGCCGGCTCGGTCAACCAAACGGGCCCGCTCGTTGTCCGCGCAACACATGTCGGCAAGGACACCACCCTTGCCCAAGTTGTCCGCCTCGTCGAAGATGCGCAAACGAACAAGGTATTGGCAATTTTTTTAGCGCTAAAATTGCTAATTTAGGCCCCAATCCAACAAAAAGCCGATCGAATTGCCGGGATTTTTGTCCCATTCGTCGTGGTGGTTTCTATGGTCACCCTGGTCGGATGGATCGTTTTTGGGTATTGGACCTGGGCGGATGATGCTATTGTAAGTTTTTAAAGGCTTATATATGTAAATTACATTATATTACGTTATATTTATTCGTATTTAGACCGGCACCGCCAAGTTCGAGGCGATCATCAAGGTGGCGTTTGAGGCAGCTATCAAAGTGTTGGCGATCGCTTGTCCTTGTTCACTCGGCTTGGCTACCCCGACGGCTGTATGTTTTTTTTGTATGAAATAAGATATTTTTTGTATAAATAAATAATAAAAATAATTTTAAAATAAGGGTTTATTGTAATAAACACTGAAGATAAGGCAAAATCTTGTTTTAATCGCTAGACCGCCTTAAGAGACATTAGAAAAGGTCTAATAATAACATATAAGAACCGCCATAACGACGCTAAACTAGGAGTAAAAAAGAACTAGCATAAAAAAAAATGTCTAAAATGACCCCTAGATATACTTATTTTAGGTAATGGTCGGCACCGGCATCGGCGCCGTCAACGGCATCCTGATCAAGGGCGGCGAACCCCTAGAAAAAGTGCACAAGGTGAAAACGGTCGTCTTCGACAAGACGGGAACGATCACGCAAGGAAAGCCGAAAGTCGTCTCGGTGCACGGCTTCTTGACCTTCTCCAGCAAGACGCTCAACAAGGTGCGGATCTTCAAATATTATTCTTATGAAAGGTTAGGCACTAGCTGCTGCTGGTTCCGGAGAAGCCATGTCGGAGCACCCGATCGGCAACGCCATCGCCAGCTTCGTCAAGGAGGTACCTAAGACCATTTTTATTTTTCGCAAAAAATTGAATTTAATGTTTATTTTTTTGCAAATATTTTTTAGCTGCTCAACGCCTCCGAGTGGGCGACCGTCTCGCGGTTCTCGGCGTACCCGGGCAGCGGAATTTCGTGCCGGGTCTCTGATGTCGATGAGTTCCTCGCTTCGTCAAGCCCGGATCCGGTAAGGAATTTTCTTTCGGCATATTTTGAATTTACATTAGCAATTAATTTATTAATTTTATTTATTTACTTAGCTATTAATCATTATAAATTTGATTTGATTTTTTTAATTTAGCGTTTCGACTTCCGGTCCGTCGACCACCACCATGAGACGCCCTTCCCGAGGACCGATGCTCGCTACATACAATCCGGAGATAAAGATGGTGATAAAAAATTTACGAGGAAATAAAAAGAGATTTTAGGCGCTAATGTGTTCGCCACCCAAGATTACAAAGTTCTCGTCGGGACCGTCCAGTTGATGGAAAAGCACGGGATTCCGGTAGATATCCTTCGACTGCTAACATCTGAATTCCTTCAGGTCGACGGCGAGGCCTTCTACACGCTCCAGGAGCAGCAGAGCAAAGGCAACATTGTCGTGCTGTGCGCGATCAATGGTATGCTTTTTCAATTGAAATGGAATTGGATAATTTTACCTATTTTTAGGTCAACTCGCGTGCATGTTCACCATTGCCGACGAGGTCAAGAAGGAGGCCGCTCTGGCGGTCTGGGCCCTAAAGAAGATGGGCATGAACGTCGTCCTGTTGACGGGTGATAATAGCAAGACGGCTGTCGTTACGGCGAAAAAGGTTTGTTGAATTTTAATTACACTTTGATAAACAATTACCTTTTGCATTTTATTAAACCTTATTTTTCACTACGACCAGTCTCTTTAAAACCTTTTATTTAGGTGGGCATCACTGATGTCTTTGCCGAAGTACTGCCTAACCAGAAGCAGGAAAAGATCAAGCAGTTGCAGGTAGTTTCGCTTTTTAACATTTACTTGTCTAAGTGATTTATAGAATATTTATTAATTATTTAAATTAAATTCTTTAGAAAGATAAGACCAAGGTGGCCATGATTGGCGACGGCGTCAACGACAGCCCCGCCCTCGCCCAAGCTGATGTCGGCATTGCCATCGCCGCCGGGAGCGATGTAGCGATCGAGAGTGCTGGAATTGTGCTTGTTAGGGTGAGCAATACATTATTGCGATTATTACTAATTCACAATCTTTAGAATGATCTGTGCGACGTCGTCGCCGCCATCAAGTTGTCGAAGATGACCACAAGGCGCATCCACCTCAACTTTCTGTTCGCGATCTGCTACAACGTGATTGGGATCCCGATCGCTGCTGGTGGGTTTTGACTTTTAAACAAAATATTTTTTCCTAATTAATTTTGCTAAACTAACTTTTAAAAAAATAGCGATTTCGAAAACTAAAGCAACAAAGGAAAAATTATCTCTGGCAATTTGTAGTTACCAAATCGTGGCTTTTGAAGAAATGACCCTTCGAAAAATCGCTTGTTTTTTGAATACTGTTTACCACTTAATTTATTATTTAGGTCTCCTTACCCCGATCGGCATCTCCCTCGAGCCGTGGATGGCCGCCGCAGCCATGGCGATGAGCAGCGTTTCCGTCGTGGCCAGCAGTCTGCTCCTCCGCTCCTACAAGTTAGTTTAATTTTTAAAACCGAAAAGTCTGCTTTAGAAAACCATCTCACGCTTCCCTATCCAGCGGCGAGTTCAAGAAGTACAAGCGGATGCTGGAGCGCGGGGATTTTGAGGTAGTTAGAGAGACCGAATTGGATTTTTGGGTCATTTTAGGTGAACATCCACCGCGGGTTGGACAGCGGCGTCTTCATGAGGGCACCGTCGAAGATTTCGTTGCTGGGCAGCAAGATCACGTCAGCGTTCGGCGACTCGATCAACAGCCTCGTTGGCGCGCAGAGCAAGAATACAGAAAGGTTTGTAATTTTCTCTTTATCTTGCCCTCTCTCCTCTCTCTCTCTGTCTCTCTCTCTCTCTCTCTCTCTCTCTCTCTGTCTGTCTGTCTCTCCCTGTCTCTCTCGCCCGCTTTCGCTCATTCTCGCGTTCTTTTACAAATGTGACATTACCCCTGGCTTCCACTCGATGTCTTTTTTTGGTCTCTCTCTTACTCTCTCTCTCTCTCTCTCTCGTCTGGTAACTCCGATTTAATAAAAACCGATTTCCAGGCGCCAAACCCTGCTCGAAAGCGGCGGCAGCGGCTACGAGTCCGACGAGCACCTCCAAATCTAATTTCTGTTATCTATATTAGGCCCTTTTCTCGCTTTTCTAGATGCCGATATATTGTAGTGCCTTACCACCCTTACTCCCAGACATTTCCAAAGTGTGCTACATTCACTTTCCCAGAGATGTGCCTCCCCCCAGTGATAGAGATTGTGATCCTCCGTATTACGTGTCCGTATCACCCTTCGCTTCTTTCAATCTTTTTCTTGAAAATTGGTCCCTGTAGTTTGCAGTCGGCTCGGTTTAACCGGATTGTTTTGGATCCTAAACATTGCCCCCAACTACAGTAACCCGGCTGAACTTTCCCCCTTCGTACAGGTGCCCTTAAAATTCGCACCCCTATCAAAAATCCCTCTATACCTTCAGGTACCTCCTGTCTTTAGTAATCACAAATGTTGCCTTACCCACCCCGTGTGCTAACATTTCAAAAATAACCCCTATGCTCTTCGACTATGACATTTAAAGTGAGCATTTTCTCAATAGTTTCTGCTGCCCCCCAGGTATTTTCCACATTTCCGGTTCTTGATGGGTCGATTACTGACTAGCCCTGTTCTTCCTATTTCGCTAGCTTTTCCGTGTTTAATGACTAATACGTGTTAATAAAAAGTTATATCTTGTTGCGCACATATTTCCAGAGAGGGAGCGGGGGCGAGAAAAAAAAAGAGAGAAAGAAACGCATAAGGAGGCGAAGCTAGAGCGAGGGAGAGACGGCGAGAGAGAGGGCGAGGAAACGAACGTTCCCGCCGATCCCCTAAAAATCAGTCCCGTTTTCAAACGATCGAAAAAATAACTGTAATCCGCTTCACGAAAGCCTTGCTCGCCAGCATTATTCCAGATTGTGTTCAGGAAGGTACTTATCCCATCCCCCGGCTTTATGCCAACTAGCTGCTCACCTGGCACCTCACCACCCGGTAATTATCCTCCCCTCCTCCTCGTCTCTGTCCTTCTCTCTCTCTCTCTCTCTCTCTCTCTCTCTCTCTCTCTCTCTGCCTGAATAAAGGCCCAAATGTGCAACCAGATCTTCGCACCGATTACCATCAAGCCGCCTTGCACGTGTCGAAAACCTAGTTGAAAAGTTTGATGATTATGAGGCATACATCCGGGATTTCCTGGAATCGGATTTGGGTCCAACTTCCTATTGCGTGGCTTCCGAGATTTGCAGGGTTAGGGTATTGAAAGTTCGGGAGTCGTTTCGAGGCAAAGAGAGGGTGAGAGAGAGAGCACGGTAGCTCGGGATTACGATAATCCGCAATGAGTCAAAAGTTCAAGATCGCCAAATGTTAAAAAGAGAGGAAAACAACGTACGAAGTGTAGTAGTAAATGCTTATGCCGTGCATTTATAGCTAGCGGACGGTCTGCCTCAACATCTTTATTAGGAGCACGTGATGGGTTTCGTGATCCGTCGCAAGAGTAATTTGCATAAACATGTGCGCGGACGCGCCGGCGCAATCCGTTGCGGCGGCCGCTCCATATGGTAAACTGTCATTGGGACAAGGCTTTACGGGTCAGCCATGGGCAGGCCCGTACGGGAACCGAGATTTCGGGGGGGGCACCCACCCAAAAAATTTTGGCGACCTCCCCCGGTGCCCTTTAAAACCTTCGAAAATAGCGACAATAACAGCGCCGCAGGCGAAAAAATTTAGAAAACCGCGTTCGTAGCGCTTAAATTCGTGTCAAAACACATCGGAAACGGCGTCGACAAGCGAACTTTTGTTCAGCAAAAATGGTGCATTAATGAAAACGAGCGCCGCAGGCAAAATTTTAGAAATTAGGTTTTCTGAGTAAAATCGTTTCGAATCAGTGATAAACAGCGCCGCAGGCAGAAAATTTTTGCGACATAGGGTCCCCCCTTATGAACCTTTCGACCTCGACCGATTTCGGGGCACCGTGCCCCCGGTGCCCCCCTCGTACGGGCCTGGCCATGGGTGCCCGGGCTAGAGGAGTAGTAAGGCTTTGAGGGCACCCATGACAGAAGTTCGCTTAATTCTGCAAGAGATTTTATTGTTTCCTTGCTTCTGAAAACGAAAAATCGTATGGCGCCATTTTTTAAAATTAATTTTCCAGGTACAATGTGCCCGGAATATAGCCGTTAAAAAGGGGAAAACATGTACAAAGCGCAACCACTCGAATCTCCGGGAAAAGCATAAGTTCAGCGGCTAAACTTCCGATCCGCTCTTGTTTACCAATTGCGGGGTAGATGAAATGGGGGGAGGCGCCAGTTTTGAAAGGATGTGCTGTTCCCATGAGGTACCGTATCCCAATAAAAACCTCCCGTATTACCCAATAGTTCTGGTTCCTTAGCGGGGGGAGTCCATCGGGAGAAAACATTTTTTTTCAATAGTTCTCTTATCTTAAATTGCTTTGTTTTGAGATTTCCATAGAATTGTTGGTTTCTTTTTATGCTCTATCCAATACCGCTTACAGAATGTCGAAAAATATCGAAAATCACGACAAATCGCTTATCAGCCGCGTTTCCGGGTTCTTTTGCTCTTGTTTCTGAAATTATAGTGTCTTATTTAGAATTAAAAGTTTATGGAAATCTCACTATCTCACTATCTCTCGCTCTCTCGCTCCCTCTCTCCCTCAACTTTCCGGGATTGTCGAGTGAGATAGCATTGTGCCGAATTTTGCTGATTCGAATCCGTTTCAAGTTGCGGAACCCCTCTAGATAAAAAGTTACAGCCGGTTTTCTACCCCAAATGACCGTAAATTACAAACTTTAAATCCTTACAAAAAACTCGTGGGAAATTTTGTGGGATAAAATACAGCACTCCTAGGGGTAAAAAAACGTGCTCTTTCGAATGGGCCACCTTACGAACCCGTAGCTCAAAATTCACAAAATTTCAAAAATTGGCCATCCAGGGCATAGGTCCACCGAAAAACTTTTTTTCATGAATTTTGTGCTACGGGTTCGTAAGGTGGCCCATTCGAAAGAGCACGTTTTTTTACCCCTACATATGCTGTATTTTATCCCACAAAATGTTCCACGAGTTTTTTATAATGATTTAAAGTTTGTAATTTTCGGTCATATGGGGTAGAAAACCGGCTGTAACTTTTTATCTAGAGGGGTTCCGCAACTTTTGAAAACGGATTCGGAATCAGCAAAAATTCGGGCACAAAATGTGCTATCTCACGTATCGAAATCCCACGGTCAACAAAAAACGGTTACAGTCAAGGCCGGAATGCATGCCAGCTTCTGGCCCCTAGACCTGCTAATTTGTTACAGAACGGCTAGCGCACTTACCTCATACCAAATTCCGCTCATCCCACCATTTTTGAGTCTAGGATGAAACTGTTATTTGGCTAGAGTGCGCCTGAACCAGCGAGGTGCCGACAATCAAACATCCCGCAACACCAAATGCAAACAAATTGGTATGCTTGAGAGGGGGTCCAGCCGGACCATGGTGCTCCCATTTTGTGTCTAGTTTGCTCACCAGACACCCAGCCCCCATACACCCCTCATTGCCAGGAGGGCAGATCTGCTCATACACATAACCCCCCGCCTATCTTCTTTTCCACCCTTCGGCCAAGCCATAATATACACCAATTTCTCTCTAGCTGACTTGCTCTCTCTTTCTCTCTCTCTCTCTCTCTCTCTCTCTCTCTCTCTCTCTCCCTAGAACACCACCCAAACATCAACAATTATTTTCCTTTTTGGTCATCCACCTACTTCTAACTCGTCCTCCACCCTCATCGCGCTGGTCCCCTTCAGTTGTATGCAGGTGGGTCACATTTTATGAAATGTTTTTTTTTCTTGTATTTCCAACCTTTCAAAAAGTTCTAGCATTTATGTTTTTACGCCGAAAAAACAAAGCAAGCGATAGGTCAATTTTTCTGTAATTTTTTTGCCCCTTCGAGCTTTTCCGGGGCATACGCTGGTTATGACAACTTTGCAATCTGGTGCTCCCTAGAAAAAGCTGAAAATATTGTTTTTATTTTGTTCCTATGTCAATCATTTTGATTATTTAGTAAAAAAATTGCGCTGGTAACTAATTTAAATTTTTAAATTAACCGCTAATTTCAATTTTCAGTCTTGGTAGTTTGTAGAATACACCCAAGGTTTAATTTGTTTATGATTTCAGTGTTGGCTTTTAAGTCTTCGCCTTAATCCAGTCTTTTTGGTAAGACTTTACTTTACCCTCCCCCCCACAGCCGAAGTGTCTCAAAGTTGTCGGTATTTTCGCTTATTTTGTCGGAATTTTTGCAACGCCATGCGATAGATCGTCGAAATATATGGATGATGAAATGGAAAATAAAAAAGTTATAGCCAAAACCTTCCGGCTGGGGGGGTAAAGTAAAGTGTAGCCGTCTTTTTATCACATTGCACGCCAATTAAAATGCCGCCAGTTTAGCCAAACTTTGCGCGCATTGCTTTTTAGACGTAAGCGATTCCCCAAATAAGGTATCACCAGGCTTGAGTGATACCGTAGTTGGAGTCTGGGGTAAGGTGCAGCGAACAAGATTATAACGCATTAATAACGCGTAATAACGCATTAATATGAAGCTGGTATCTTATACCCTTTTCCGAATGGTAGCAGGCACCACCGCATAACCTAGTATTTCGCTCCCTTTAGTCCGCTTTTGGTCCTTACAGTAACCCCCGGCCATATGACAAAGCACCCTTACATCATTCCCCAAAGGGTATCCCCAAGTCACGTGTCGGTTGATTAGTGTTTATACGGACCTTGGTGCATTGGTGCCTTTTCCTGATTTCGTGATCTGCTGCAATGGCACGTGGCTTATTTGTTTACATTCCTTGGGCGGTCATCTTGGGCTACGCCCGAGACGGTCGGACACAGAATTGAACACGCATCGCATGGAGGGTTTATGCAAATATGACGCCTCTCATCAACGAGTTCGGGGGTTTCCCAATGGGTCCGCGCCAAAGACCAGGATTAGAATTTTTGCGGAGAAGATGAGATCTTTTAAAAGAGAGCGAGAGCGAGAGTGGGGAGAGAGCAAGAGAGCGAGGGAGAGAGAGAGACGCCGGTGGCCAGTACAAGAGA